ATGATAATAAATTTGGCCCGGTCTGAGTAAAGTTACAAGCACTGTACACAGAGAGATGTATATGGGACTACGCACACGTCGTCGCTGTTTTCACGAAGTGACGGTAGTGAAAAAAATGCATTCACTTTGCGTTACGATTTTCCTCACTACGTAACTTCGTGAAAACAAGGACGACGTGTGCGACCCGTGCGTTATATCTATCAGGTCCAAATAGATATATAATTTACCAAATATATCAATTAGTAGGCGGTTTCTCGGCAAAATTTGTATAACCACATATTAGTCAGATGACATTCTTTCACATGATTGGTAATAAGAGCTTCCACTTCATTTTTTGAGAGGGGGGCGTTTCCAAAACTGGTCTTTACCTTTAATATCAACAGTAATGATACAAATTATTCCAAGAGACTAGCAGAAGCGGCGCTCAGATTCATGAAGGTGTAATGCAACATTTCTTTTACATTTGTGCCATGTACATGCTCTAAAATAAGTTAAGTATATCCGAATACGAAGTGGGTGTTATTTCCTGTTATTTTGAAATCTCATGATTTTTCTTTCCTCATCCGGGAGCTGAGATCCCCTCAGATGATCTATAATACAATTTTGTAATTATACAAAAAGAGAAAGAGGGAGATTGAGAGACGGAGGTGGAAGAGGGGGAGAGAGAAAGAGAAAGAGAGAGAGAGAGAGAGAGAGAGAGAGAGGAAGGGGAGAGGGGGAGGACGGGAGAGGGGGAAAGAGATAATATATAGCACATCGACACGGTTTTGATCCCGGGGCCTTGCCACTGAATCATGACTGTACGCAGCTCCACAAATATAAACAAAGAAAATGCAATGAATTATCAATGATTTATTGCATTTTCCCCCTGTTCCCAACAGGAACAAAATCCTCTGTACGGCAATGCATTATGGTTCACGGCATGGCCACACAGAGGATTTTTTTATGTTGAGGAGCGGGGGAAAATGCAATGAATTATTGATAATTTATTGCATTTCATTTCTTCTTTTTTTAATTGTGGGGGGGGGGGGGGGGGGGGCTTCCCCCAACGCTAGTTCCCACTGTGTATAGTCATGATTCAGTTGCAAAGCAATGGCCTGGTTGGCCATGTATACTGTTATCTAGATCTATTAAGAATAAATCATTTTCAAAATCATTCCATAAATTGGGGTAAAACAAAATGATTGCACCTTTATGACCAACAGTGCATATTGTGGTGGTGGTGGTGGTTATTTTACCTGACTGCTAAAAAAGCACAAATGCTTGTTAGTAAGCAACCAGACAGTCGACGGACCTGGTAATGAGGAGTAATGCCATAACAAGGGGCGATAGCGCATCGACTTGATTTCGAAGCCGGCTCACCGGATTACGAGACCACTGCTCTACCGACTGAGCTATCGCGCCACCCACAATCACACACAAACACACAAGAGCAATACCAAAAGAAAGGGAGAGTCCAAAATGAGCAAGAGAAGAAAGGGAAGAGGCCCGCCCCCCCCCCCATTTCGTGAACGGATGGATACCATGCGTGTTCCAAAACTCTCCGGCTCGTAACAAAAGAAAAGGTGTACCCGTATTGACTTTACACACCGGACTTTTGCTGAAAGGGGGGGGGGGGGGGGTGCTGAAAAAGGCTCGAATAACAAAAGGAAAAGTCGACCCGTATTGACTTTACACACCGGACTTTTGCTGAAAGGGGGTAGGGTCGTTGGGAACACGCATATGCGTACCCTAAATAACAGTGAGTGGGGGGGGGGGGGGTGGGGAGGTGAGAAAGAAGAAGAGAAGAAAAGGAAGAGGTGGGGATAAGAAAGAGAAGAAATGGAAGAGGTGAGAATGAGAAGGATAAGAAAGGGTCTGCTCAGTCAAGGATGTACCGTTTGAATAGAGTTCTAAAACGAGAAAGTGTAGAGCTGGATTTAGGATTATTACAAATTGAATTCCATTCATGTACTCCTGTAAAACGGATAATATGGGTTTTTATAGTTGAACGAGCAATGGGAAGAAAGATAATCTCGTATACGAGTGTGCTACAACATATGGAATGAAAAATTAGTTCTAAACATATTATCGGAAATAATGGGAGAATCCCTTTGTGATTCCAAAATATAAAATTGAGTTTTGGTCATGCGATTGGATTGTGAAGGAAACGGTGTGGAATCGATTGGGAAAAGTTGATCATATAGCATTTAATTATTGGTGTGTACTGAAGTTTCTGGAGTCATCAAAATGATAATAAAGTTGTCCCAGTCTTGGTAAAGTAACATGCACTGTACACAGAAAGATGACATAAAATTCGGGTCTTTTTTTTTTTTTTTTTTTTTTTTTTTTTTTTTTACATTTGTACATAAAATAACGAAACTTAATATTTCTATAACATATTATTATGAATTTAAAGTGTTATCCAAACTATCAGTTGAAAAAAGTGCAGGAGACCGCAATCATAAGCGAAGCTTGACTAGGATGGCAGCCTCAAAAAGAAAAAAAAAGTAATCTTAAGGTAAAACTTAAAATAAAAAAGTGTTTAAACGTTCTTTGTGCGTAGGAAAACGCCAGCAACCGCGGGGCCACTCCATAGAAAACTACCTCAAACCACGGACGTACCTGCAATGGGGGACCGTCCACGGTTGCGATACCGGTTCCGCCGTATCAAATTTACGACGTAGGGGGCGTCTGAATATTAGATGTCACAGCGTGTAGGCAACATCGACTGGATCAGTCCGATGTGTATCGCGAAATGTCACAGCGCCCCCTTTTGACTGCGCGGGAGAGGCGCTCGCTACCTGGATCATCCCATAGGAGGTACGTCCGCGGTTTGATGTAGTTTTCTATGGAGTGGTCCGCGGTTGCTGGTGATTACCTACGCACACACACACAAGTACTAAATTTGGTCCACGGTTGACGCCATAATCCTGTAGTGGTGTATGAGTTTGTGAGTGTGCTGCGCGAGTGTGTGTTTGTGTCTGTGTAAGCGTGTGTGTGTGTGTGTGTGTAGCGAATAGTGTATGTGCACGTTACTCTCTGTTGGATGGTGGAGTGGAAACAAAATGTAGCTGTTATACTTGTCATATTTAGAAAATGGAGGCATTTGAAGAGCCATGCTCCTCAGGGAACATTTTTTTCTCTGATGTTCTTCCACACTTGCATAATAAGATGGATAACGCTCACAAATTATTTTTAACCTCTCCCCAGAACTCAACCTTCTCTTTGAACATGAAAACTGATATATCAAGTTTTACCATTTCAAACACTGGGATACTTTTTTGTTTAACAAATAATGGTAGACTGGGACTACGAAAGTCACTCTTTTTTTTTGTGGTCGTATTGCACGTTTTTGTAAATAATATAGTTTACCATCCCTCTCTACATTTCATTCCATTCCATTTATAACGACAATTTTTCTCTCGAAATGTCTGAGTTCAATATCTAGTTTAGCTATTTGTAAAGAGATTTGCCAGAGAGCCTTATTTACTTCATTTTTTTGGGGGTCACAACTGAATAACAGAGAGATTATCATTCATGGATTCTTCACAATATACAATGGTACCTTCTGCAGTATTTGAAGTGATGCCAATATACAGGCGCCACATTATCAAAGGGGGAATCCAAGAAATAATGACTCTTATAATGCCACGCAGAATAATGTATGGGATTTACGTGCGGGGTTTGTACAAAAGTGCTTAAAATCGTCGCTGTTTTCACCAAGTGACGGTAGTGAAAAAAATTGCATTCACTTTGCGTTACGATTTTCCTCACTACCGTCACTTCGTGAAAACAAGGACGAAATGACACGGTGTCGGTTATCATGACAAGAGTGTGTATTGAATCACATCGAATCATTCAAACGACTCTTGTGATATACAATGGACTTGAAAGGTGTTTTGCATTCTTTCCAAATAATGTTCATATTTTCCTTTCATGAGAATCGTGCCCCACCTTGTTCCCAAATATGCATATTGTTATATGTTTATGTATATTCATAATTATTGTTGAACGGGTTCACTTTGGATAAAGAAATTGTATCCCCATCGTTCCATATCCCGAAATTCTACCATCTTTTTTTTAACAAGTTCAGCTGTGTTTATGCTAAATGGCCGCAATCGCCACCACAGGCCAAATCAGAGATTATATGTAAAATTGCATATTTTGGTATAAAGTACGTTTGTACCAGTTTCATGATTTTACCACAAAGTACACAATACTTCCGCCTATCCGCTGGACTCTCTCTCTCTCTCTCTAAGTGCCATATCGTTTGACTTTGGCGATCATGCTGTTCCACAACCCTCGGCTCCTAGCCTTCTATATTAGTACCACTCCCAGTTCTTTCACTCCTCTCTCTTCCAACAATTTCTGGAGACTGTCCATCCAAGTATCCTCCTTCTTCCCACAATTTTCCCTGTCAAAGCAAAATTCTCTAGGCCTTCTTTACGTGTAATGTGACCCATAAACTTCAACTGCCTAATCAACATCTCACGTATCATTTTTCTTTGCACTCCAGCTCGTGTAAGAACTTCCTCATTACTAACTTTGTCAGTCCAGGGGATTTTCATCATTCTTCTTAGAAACCACATTTCGCAACTTTCCAAACGCTTTTTAGTATCAGAGGCTAAAGTCCATGTTTCACTACCATAGTGGACTATGAGGTCTTAAAACGCAACTGCGCACGCGCACCCTGCCAGTCCGGGTCACTGCACGCACTAAGCACCGCCTACTTGCACTGCCAAGTCGTCACGCAGCAATACCTGTAAACATACACTACCGATCACATTACTGCTAAAAAAGGGAACAGTTTGTGGAAAACCGCGGTATATGAACTTGATCGAGTTTCCATGAAAATTATGGTTGCGCGCATCCGGGTAGGTTATTTAATCATTAATGTTATTGACACGCTCTCAGTTTAAAAACCAGTGTCTATAAACCTTGCTCGTTTTATAACACTCCGCGATCTTCTCTGCGATCAGACCCGTAGTTTTGTTTGAATCATAGCAGATACGGCACAGTCGATGCTCTTAAGCTGTGGTTGCACTAACAGGCCTTCAAGACTAAACAGCCCAAAAGATTGGAGTATTATCTTAAACATGTCGGCATTGAAGAGAAGCCCCCGAAATGTCCGCAGTCCGCGCAGCACAGCGGCCATGGTCAAACACCTGCCGTCTGCGGTGGCCGCCTTACTACAGTCGGGAAAGGGGCCGGCAAAGTTGACCAAAGTCGACACCCCGGACGGGGTAAAGGCGGTGCCCTTAGCCGACTGGCTATGGGACAAAAGTCAGGTACAGGCGCAGGCGGCACTCGACACTGACTTCATCCAGGGCATCAAGAGTGGTCTTCTGGATCCCACCAACTACGGTGAGTTCTTTTATTTGGGTGACTATTTGGTACAATTCGGCATGTAACACTACTGGGCCAGAAGGGATTACACCACACAGCGAGGTCACTGACAGGTGGCTATCTCATTAACTCAGCTCTCAACTAACGTAAGAAAAAGAGGATCATGGGGGACAAACAGGCACCGATTGGGGAAGTTAAATTCTTAAATTGTTATTATAAGATAAGTTATGAGCTTTCATATCAGACATAAACAATGGCAAACCGAGCACCGACGATAAGTTACTAGTTTAATAAGTTTCAAATTTTTAATTAGGAGCAGAACGCTCCTAGTTTTTAATATTGATGTCTGTCAATCTTTTTCGCGTAATACATCATCATCTTTTAAGAAGGACATTCGACCAAATAAAATGCAGTGTATTTCTTTCGGTCAAAAATATTGTTTACGTTATTCACCGTTTGTAGAGGTGCGAACCCATTAACTAAACATTCTATTCAGGGTTGACGCTTTGCATAACCTACAACCACAAAACTGTTGAGAATAAGAAGAAATAAACCTTGTATGAAGTGATTTAATATGGAAACCAATTTAAACTTGTAATCTTCATGGAGTCACTTTTCAAAGAATAAAAACACCATGTTTATGAAAATAAGTTTAATTGGATATCCATTGGTCGTTAACTTTAAAGGTATGACCAGGGACTGGTATAACATAGTAGTGACAGAGAACAAAACATTTACGGCAGTGTATATACCTTGCGCCATGGAATAACAGACCCGTCAATGTTGGAGCTCAAGCCAATATCCGGGTCACGAGAAAATAGCGTCAAACCGTTCTGTGCTTTTGCACACCAACCATATCGAAATAAGCCACTGCGTTCAAGTTGTGGAGGTCTTAAAATACAATATTCGCGAAGATTGGTCCTATCACACGTATGAGAACTTCTATCGTCTTTGTGATTATTATTATTCTTGTCATATACTCCACCCCAAAACAACTGTCCTATCACGTGAATAATAAGTTCTCTCGCATTCGTGATAATTATTATCTTTGTAATATTTTTATATCACCCTCATTTACATAACCCCGACAAAAGAAATATGTCCTATCACGCGAATGAGAACTATATCGTCTTTTTGATTATTATTATCCTTGTCATAAACTCCAACCAAAATCTATACTGTCCTATCACGTGAATAATAAGTTCCCTCGCATTCGTGATAATTATTATCTTTGTCATATATTTATATTTTCCAGGGGGGATTGGAAGTGTCATCTTTATAAATAGCGAGCTTTCAGATACAAACCAATTGCTCACTCTTCTCACCATAAACAAAGCTATATCCCACATTTAATCCACAGGTGGCTACACAGTTCAGGACGCCGTGTACTGCGATAATGCCACTGACTACTTTGGGATCGCTGAGATGAAAGCCTGCGATAAAGACCTAAAGGAATTCATTGCCGCACGCATAAAAAGTTACGCTGAGTAGTGTTTGGTGAAAATAGTATGGGTGTGGTGAGTGGTGGTGTGATTGATCGTTTGATTGATCGATTGATTGATATATTGATCGACCAATCAATCGATCGATCTAGTTAGTGAGTGAGTAAAATACAAAATATACAGTTCCTAGCTCATTCTAACCCTCAACAATTGCTGTGGTCAGGAGGCGTACGTAGGGGGGGGGGGGTTTGGGGTTAACCCCCCCCTTTTGTATTTTTATGTGTGTAAACCCCCTAAAAAAAAACCTGAGACCCCCCCCCCCCCTTTTTTTTTTTTTTTTTTTTTTAATATAAAAAAATAAATAAAAAAAAATAAAAATTATACCCACGACTAACCTAAAAAAGGTGGCCTTACCCCCCCCCCCCAACGAAGAAAAATGTCAAATTTTCAAATTTCGAGACCAAAAAAAAAAAAAAGTGACCGCTTAGCCCCCCCCCCCCCCCCCCCCCCCCCCCCACTAAGCGACTTTTCGGCTGGCTGAGCCGTTGCAATTTTTTTTGGACTACCAAAAAAAAAAAAATGTCCGCTTACCCCCCCCCCCCCCCCCCCCCCCCCCCCCCTTGAAAAATCCTGCGTACGCCCCTGGCGTAGACAAAGGAACATCCCTTCACTGCTATTATGTACAAATGTGTAGAACAGGTGAATATGCATGTGACACCTCTTCTACACACAAAACGTACTACCATTCGGTAAAAAAGGTCTGGAAATTAGGTGATTGCAATCACTTAAGTCGATTCGACCAACTAATAGTCGTTATTTTCCCACTAAAAGCTTTATTCAAGCCCTTTGGTTTTTTAAGGAATTTAAAAATTAGTATTGTCTTTCAAATGCCGTTCGAATTTACCCCTTTTTCTTTCTTTTTTTGGCCTGCAAATGGAGCATAGTACCTTAGACACTGAGAACCTCGTTTTCAAACCTGGCAGTGTGCAGATTGGTGCTATTTTCTTAAATTTGAAGTTCGTCTATATTTTGGCCTTTTCAACCAACCTGTATTAAGCGTGTATATTGGTTATTTTCAATCAAAATGTATTTAGCGTGTATGCTCATGATTGTATTTGAAGGTACACGGAGATAATGTTCAAAGAGTGGTACATCAAGCACCCAAAAGGGATTGCCATGGGAGACGCCGCTGCCTCCTACTCTGAATTCGAGCTGGACGTGGCTACAACGGAGGAGCCGTTTTACCTGCTGATCGCCATGTTGCCGTGCGAGAAGCTGTGGGGGTGGCTTGCTCAGGAGATCAAATCAGGCATAGTAAGAACAGGCCTGAGTAAGAATATAGACCAGATCCATTAAGCCCAGCCCCTTTTCTTAATGACCAATCCCAGCCGCATTTTAAACGCACTCACACTCATGAAACGGTCGTGATTGGTCAGTTCGTCAAGGGGCGGGGCTTTATGGATTATCGTATTCAGCTTGTTAAGAATCCAACAATGTATTGTTGGTCGCCAAACATTTTGCACACGGCCCCTTGCTGTACTGCTCCCAAACTACGTCATATTTCATATCCCATTGTTTACATGCTTACTAGTTTCGTTTCGTTCTGTTCAAACTCTGGGCACACAGGGTAACCCTCACGAAGACATGTTTTGTTTGTTTATCCTGATGAAAATAAAACAATAATTAATTGATTGAGTATTTATTTTTGAAGCCGGATGGAATTTTTGAAGTTAAAATTGTTGTGATGTACACAAGTTTTTTTGGATCGATCAAACTAAAACCGCCATCAAATAAAAAGGGCAAAACTGAAAACTAAACGAAATTCTGTATAATTATTTGTCCAAAGTACGGGTTTTCACGTTACGTATTTTTTCTTGTGCAATTATAGAATGACACCAACGTGTACAGTTTCTGGATACAAGATAACCTGCCGGGAAGCCATACACTCGCGAATTACATCGACGAGAATGCCGAGAGTTTAAAGTGGATCTAAAGAAGGCCATGAAGATCTACAAAGATGGTATGCAGTGCGAGGTGGATTTTTTCACTTCGGGAACAATCGAGGAGGTAAACTGAATGGTCTGAACGTTCCAACGTTCCAACTGTGATGTTGCAACACTCTTAATTAATTAATGCAAAATTACACATGATCGAAACCTACTTGGTGAACGTTAGGCTCCGTCATTTTTTTGCAATTCTATTAAGCGCAATTGATACTGGAATACTCTTTTTTATAATGTTTTTTTTAGCTCGTGGCAATTATAGCAGTTTATGGCAATTTTTTGGAAAATCGCGTTTTATTCGTAGAATTTAGTTTTAAGTGGAATGTTATCTCTAACATATGATCATTAAGTATGTGCGTATTAAACATATGTACAAAATAAAACCTGGAGGCGTATTGGTGCGAATACAAAATTATTATGTTGATTGTACACGGTAAATGGTCTTGGTCAAAATGCTAAAAAAATAGAAAGAAAAAATAGCAACATGTCACCACCAGCTGACAATTTGGAGTTTGTGATTTGTTTTTCCAAAAATAGTGATGATCAGATAACTGGGTTCGAATTTTGGAAATTATTGCCTCGTCTCTCCAGGCCGTTTAATCAAACGACTGTTGGATCAAACGGCACAATCAAACCTCCCACTACAACCCCCATTCCGGTGTTGCACATGTGTTTATTTAAACCGTTCACGTGGCGACTGCAACCGCACTTTTGACTGGCCACTCCCGAATCCATAAGAGCTTGACGAACTGACCAATCACGGCCTCGACAGTGGTTTGAAAGAGATCGGTCCATGCGCGTGAAACGATTCGACCTGCTTGGAATGCCACTCCCACATCTTCTCGCACACATGTGAACCTCTGTAGCTGCATTTTGAGGAATGTTTCCCAATTTCGGCTTTCAAAATTTAAATGCCACAGTAACGAGAAATGAGGACCTCTACAGTGATACCAAACTGATCCTTTAATGTGAAGAAAACAAATACACTGTAGTGCCAACAACTGCGCAGAGAAAATGATTGTAGAAAAACAGCTTTGGAAACAAAATTATTCGTTTTTTGTGCTACCCACGTCCCCAAGAAAAAAAGGTCATTTTGAACAGGCAAAACATTTCAAACAAAATAGCCCCCAGAGATTTTATGAGACTCTAAGTTTTAAACAGGCCAAACATTTATATTGATGCCGACTAGTAGATTTACTTTGTTTTATTCTTTGTTTCTACTTATTTTTGGGGGAATATATGACTTCGAGCAATAATTAATTTGAATAAAACCATCCACTCTTACCCTACAAGGCAAACTGACAAATTCTATTTAAGAAAAAAACAAAAACGCATTGGCTCTCAAATCCATTAGACACGCCGGCCCAGACATCTGGAACTCTCTGCCCATTGTAATAAGAAACCTTAGGACATTGTATCCTTTTTAGGAAGGCAGTTAAAACTATGTTATTGTCTAAGTATTGATCCTGTCGTGTGTAATTTTACTGTATTCATGTTCGTGTGTACATTGACTGTATATTCAACAATGATGTGTAATCGTCCATGACCTAGCGTCGCTTATCCATTCATGAATGAACCTGCATTCAATCAGCAGATGTATGAGATTTATTGTATTATTACCAACGCTCCTTTTCTCCCCTTTCCTTTTCTTCTCTGCAAGTCACACTCTTTTTTTATTTGTTATTGTTGTATCTAAGTTGAGGGATGCGGGCACGTCAAGCTACTTTGCCTAATTCTGTAGCCCTCCTGCATCTAATGCATGTTAATTATGCATTTAATATATTTGTTTAATTTCGTTTATTATCTGTATAAAATTATATACACTTAAAATATTGTATAAAACCATATTATGTTCGTGAAAATGTATGATGGAAAAAAGATGCAGAAACCAATAAATCATAATCGAAGTCTTGGGGAAACTTTCCTCATTGCACTCCATAGGGCTACAAATTTGTGTAGCACAGAATAGTTTCGATTTGGAAAAACGTGTTGATTATTAGGGACATCTAAAAACCTTAGCTATTTAAGCTCTGGCTTCCCCGAACAGCCTATATTACTTATTTACTTAGCCAATCTTGTTTTGTCAGTAATAAGTAGTTGTAACGGGTCGATAGTTGGATCAACAAATAGAAACATGTACTGCAAGTGCAAAAAGGGGCACCTAATATGTAAGGTTTTCATTGAATGAATTTTAATTGAATTGAATTGAATTGAATTGCACAAATAAATTGAAGGCAGAAAAATCGTCTTACGACTCACATTTGTATAAAATATGACAATATATTAACACAATCATGAACAAATAACAACAAATAACATAAATAACATAACAATGTAATATTATTTAATGCCTCTGTTGAGAGCCGGAGGAATTATTTGTATTATTTGTACTCCCCTGGCTCCCAACAGACAATACTAACTTAAATATATTCTATAAAATGTTCATGACAACAATCAATGTCATATATATATAGAACAAATCACAGCCAAGATCTAAAATCAAAGCAGACCTAAATTAATCATACATCATATTCTGGATTTCCGAGTCAAAGAGGAGAAACAAGAGAGAGAAAAGAAGAGAGAAAGAGAGACATGGAGAAAGGAAGAAAGAAAAATAGAGAGAGAGAGAGAGAGAGAGGAAGGAAGGAAGAGAGGAACAGCTCAGTGTGAGATGATGCATATACAAATTCATTCAAAACATTGCTTTGTACTAGACATAAATATTTCACCTGTGCTTAGTACTGTTACATAACATATGAAACAATAGTATGCATGCCAAGAAGACAACGGTATGCTAGTACATGTACATATAGATGGTAGATACACTGTACAATTGAAAGAGGAAAATTGATGTCAGATAGAAGAGGCGAGAAGAGAGACAAGAAAGAAAGACAGAAAAGCTGAGAAAAGGAAAGAAAGGAATGAGAGGGAAAGTGCAGTGTGAGATATTGAATATATTGTCGAATTGATGGGTCTACATGTCACACAAAAAAGATTCCCCTGTAGGGCCATGCATTATGGTTCAAGGCATGCCCACATAGAGGAATTTTGTAAATGTTGGGGATAGGGGCAAAATCGGTCCCCAACAGGAAAAATTCCTCTGTAGGACCATGCATTATGCTTCAAGGCATGCCCCCAAATAGATTTTTCTTTTAATGTTGGGGATCGGGGCAAAATGCAATGAATTATTGATGATTTATTGCATTTATTTTTGTTTTTGTATTTGTGGGGGTGGCCCCATACCCTAGCCCCCGCTGCGTACAGTCAAGATTCGGTGGCTAAGCAATGGCCTCGTAATACTGTGAGCCCCTAGGATCAAAACCGTGTCGATGTGCTATATTAGTGCCCTTTTGTGAGGCATTAATACTCATTGCTGTCAGTTATGACTTAAGGACGTATATCCCGTAGTTTATTAGCATAGTAACCCACACATGCTTTAGCAGTCACGCAAAACAAACACACTAAAATTGTTATTCAATAAAATCTGAGAATGTATACTATTATCTAGATCTATTAGGAATAAATCATGTATAATGGTTTCCCTATAATCAGGGGTGGCCGAGCGACTTACAAAGTGGTGGGGGCACCAACATAAAGGGCACCTACAAAGGGAAAGGTCCCTTATTAGAAAAAAAAGGGTAACCGAATTGAATTTTGCTGCTCCATGGCTGCAAGAAGCCTGGGGGCAGACATCAAATAACATTGATTGAAAACACATATTTATTATAGGAATGAATATCTGTAATCTATTTTATCGGGTCTCCCAAACGTGGTATCAAACGGCGTGAGGATGTGGTTGTGTCTGTGAGTGGAGGCGGCAGGTGTTTTTTCATCGTTTAAATCAGTTCAAATCTAAAGTTTCTCCTTTATTATATGTACTCATATTTAAGTATAAATATCTTTCCATATCACTGGCCAACACGATTTCTTTCAAACAAATTTTGTCCAAAAGATTGACTTTTTCAATTTGTAAAGCAATGTGGATCATTATAATAATAATAACGTTGAAAATAATAATAATAACAATAACATTAATGACAAAAGTTATTCCAAGAAAGTAGCGGAAGCACCGCTCCGACGGGCGGGGGGGGGGGGGGGGGTAGAAAATCATGCCCCTCCACGTTTCCAAATAACCCAAATTGACCCCTTTGATTGTGAAAATGTATTTCTTGTAATGGGGTTCTCGGGCACTCTTTTAAATCTCTGATTCGTGCCGTAGCTTCTCCCCTACTAATGGATATCCCTTTTTTCATTCTGAACAACACCCCTCTCCCTTGAATAAGTGCACATTTGTTACCCACATTTCCCGTTTTTGTTTAAAACATGTGCGTTTTCTAAAGCCCCCAACCCCATAACAAAAATCTATCCTTTGGAGCATGTGTGTAGATAGTTATCAGTTTAGAAGAAGGCATCGATCACCTGGCCCGAAGCGCCTTTCTCGTCGGGGGTGCTGATGAATATTTCCTATTAACTCCAAAAATTCATAGCAAGCCAGAAGATGTAATTGAAATGTAAAGTAACATGATGACATGGTGATGCTGAATCCGAACAAGGACAATTGTGAAAATTATGTTAAAGGTCGATACGAAAGAAAAGCTAACCTTATTTGCAATATTAGTGTTATGTTTTATGAAACCGTTTATATCAGCTCTGAGTCAAGGAGAAACGGTATTCTTTTGTTTGAATATTGTAATTTTTGTTTTGTTGAGGTTTCTATTTATATAGTCTACATTCTCCTTTTGCCCTGATTGCGTTTTGTTTTGATTGTGATAAAAGCGATATCACTACATTTTATTGAACGTAAGGCGACCTTGTGTACATAGTCTAATTACAATTTTCCTTTGTTTTCTTGAGTTATTTAATGATATGTTTCTATGCAGTAGTAGTATATTAATGTACGTTCTGTTTTCTTTTGTTTGTTTGATTTGATAATTATGTTATCCTATCATGCCAGGGTTGATTTCAGTCAATTATTTGAATTTGAATTAGA